CCCCCCCCCCCCCCCCCCGCGTGGATGGGATTAGTGTCCTTCTAAAAGAGACCCCAGGGAGCTCCCTGGCCCCTTCCTCCAGGTGATGACACAGTGAGGAGTCACCATCTATGAACCAGGAAGCAGCCTCACCAGACGCTAAATCTGGCCCCGCCAGGATCTCAGACTTCCAGCCTCCAGAACTGTGATGAGTAAATGTCTGTTGTTTATACGCCCCCCTGTCTACCATAATTTGTGATGGCAGCCCCAGTCGACTAAGGCACCCCTCCCTTCCTTGGCGGGATGGTCCACTGAGCTAGCTCCTGACTCACTCTTGGTTTCTAATCCCTCCCCCATTTTCCCTTAACTTGGAGAACTAAGTTTCTTTTCTGACCGCTTCTCACCGATTCCTAAGCTGCCTTCCAATGTTGGATGACAGTCAATCACTCCCTTCCCTCAAACGTTTTTACCTCTGCTTTTCTCACTCTGTTAATTCCTTTGCTCTCCCTAATCGCTGGTCTTTCGTGCTCACGTCTTTTCTTGAAAAAGAAAAACAAAAACGGGCAAGCCACAATATATTTCTAAGTTCTCTGTTGCTCTGGTGGTGACCCATCTATTCCTCCTGCCAACTCACGTTTGTGCTTCCTTCTCTCAGCACATTTTACTTATCTGTAATTCTTTATTTGCGACTCCCTTTTTCTCAAACTCCTGTTATTTACAATTTCCTCTCCTTCCTTGATGGTCGGCACACTCCCATGGACACTAGTGCCCAGAAGGGAGCTTGTGCCCTAAATGGGTTTTAGAGTTGCCGTGAAGCCACTGCCATCTGTCTCCAGCCTGTCTGCTCAAGCCCCTGCCCCAAACTTAGAGTCTGGGGGCTGAGGAAGGACTGTGTGACCCCCTACTTTTCTGTTGCCCACTGTGTGCCTAAACTTTTCCTCCTTCAAAACAAAATATTCTCAAATACCATGGGACTCTGTTTGCCCTTCCAAACACCTATCTTTTCTTTTGAAAGCCAATGGTAACTTCCCTCATATAGTTAGAAATATACTTATTGCTCTGTGCCAAAGACATACTGAAGATTGAGTTTCATGATTCCATCCTTCAGAAGGGACCCTCTAAATTCTGCATCGTGACACAAAAAGCCTCCATCCATTTCTTATAAGCTCTATGGCAGGTCCTGGTGGAGCTGGCGACATGCAGCCTCACCCAGGGCCACCACCAGTGCTCCTTGATTTCCAAACACGTGGGGAGCAACCCATGTGTCTCGGCCATGTTCCTCCTCTGTTCTCTCCACGAGGTCCCCACC